TGGAATATGTGGTAAATTGTAGGTCATTAGATCTAGGATTTTTTGTTAGTTTTCAAATTATAATTTTTTTGTTGTATTTTTGGCAAATTTTCTCTATATATATTTAGTATATGTACATAAATCTTTTAAAAATACCATATCAATAACAAAACTGAATTTTGGATTTGAAGATTTTTGCGTAGTTTTATCTTGCAACTAGTAATGTTTTGTTTCCGTTGATCTTTCTTAACTATGTATCTCATTATTTAGATCTAAATTCAAAACCAAATTACTTTTTCAAAATGTATTGTTCACGCTTCTGGTATGGATGATAACATTCGTCAGAAAACATTTACGTAGATCACTTTTGTCTTGCGTAATTTTTCACACTAGAATATGACATGTGCATTCACGCAAAATTTTGTTATATTTTTATTTAATTTAATAATTACTTATTTATGGATTTAGTATTTATGTTATGATAAAAACAATTAAAATCTTTGATATAGAAAATAATATTTGATTTGAAATCAAATAAATAAATGTTTTGAATTAGTTTTAAAGATGCATGAAAATATCAAAGTTATCATTTAAAATTATTTGTTTAAAACTTTGTTATGTACATATATTAGGCTATTAGATAAATCATGTTATCTAAATAATCGATAACGAATTTGCAGATAAAATATATCAGTCATATTCTAATTTATCTTTATAGTAGTATGAATTATCAATCATAGTTGGTTTCCATATGTCTTCACAATGTTTTTTTGTTATTATCTTATACTTAGCACTTCACAATTTCTTTAGTAATGTGGCATATGGAACATGCTGAACAACATCTTGTTTGCTTGTTGTTTACATTCTTTTCATTCGATGAATGAGAAAACTTATCTCTTCATCAGTAAGGTGTAGGTTTTCTTCTTCAACTTTGATTTAAGATTTTGCTAGTCAGAGTTGAAGAGACTCGTAGTTCATTTTAAAATTATTTAATGTATTTTTTGTCATTTATCTTCGTCTGGTAAGCTTATATATATTTTGGTTTTTGTTCATTGTAGAAAAATAGTTGAGATTTTAAGATACGATTTCTTAAACGTTTATCTTCCTAATGTGTGGTTGAATGTAAGATTTTTTTTTTAACTACAAACTTTTTAGTAAGAAAAAACTTTTCATATTTCATGAAATATATAACTTTTAAAAATAATCTAAAGATTTTTTTTTCCTTAACATTTTATTACGTCAGTTGATTTATAATAATTTTTTAATTATAAAATCCATACACACATTTTAGGTTTTTTTATATGTATATTATATAACTTTGGTAAAACAAAATTCATATATAAAATCCATACACACATTTTAGGTTTTTTTATATGTGTAATATATAACTTTAATAAAACAAAATTCATATTATCATTACTACTAAAATCATGTGTAGTCTTGT